ATCTACAGAGATGCTGAGGGAGATTATAATAGAATAACTCAGAGACATCCTCAGAGGAAGATCAATGGAAACCAGCTTTCCTAAAGTTAACAGCACTTATTGTGGTACTTTATAACATCACTGCTAATGAATTTTAAAGGTATGGTGTAGACATTTGGCATGAATAAGAAGAGTATTGCCTCTTAATGTTTTCTCCATAAATTAGAGTTGTAAGAAGGACCACAAGCTGGTGGTTCCCACATTTTGTATTTTGAGCTGATAACTGTCCTGTCCAAGCAGTTTAAGTGAAATTCAGGTCTGATGAATCATACCATCTAGCCAAAACATTCTTTTCATATTCAAAGTTTTGTAGATATCATATGGATATAGACAATGATTTACTGAATGGAAAGTTCAATATTGGACAGTTGAATCAGACTATTTAGCACTGTACAAACCTCTAGGCAGTCCACAGTGAATGCTTTCTGTTCCTGAAGGAACTTGTGAGGCAAATATCACATATATCGTATATTAGACAATGGTGAGGGCTGAGCAAGTACAGAGTGGAGAGTATTTTCACATCACCAAAAGTGAAATGATGAACATTTTTCTCATATTCAGAACTCATCTTTTGACTGTAATGTCTAACTTTTTGTTTATTTGAATGAAACGGCTGTTTCCTTCTAGGTTTTTTGTTTAAGTTATCTTACATGTAAATGTTGCTATTTTAAATTTTAACTTTTCTACCAGCTTACCTTCTGTTCACAGCCATTTATTATAGCAAAATTCTTCGTGCCATTTTTGTCATCCACAAATAATAATATTGTATAAATTGACTTGTGTTTTATGATTTGCTTTTGGTAATAAAAGTTAGGAAACAATTCAAAATTTGATTTGTTGTTAGAATAAGTGAAAGTTTGAAGAATGGTGTAAATATATATATAGAAGAGGGATTACCTCAACATTTATTGTTAGTAATAAATTTTTAGTAATATTGTTAACATTTATCTTCACTTTTTAATAATATCAGTGGAATATTCATTTGCTTTGAAATAATCTAATTCAATATAAAGCAATTAAAAATCTCATCTAGGGCTGGGGCTGTAGCTCAGTGACAGCACTTGCCTAGCATGTGTAAGGCACTGGGTTTGATCCTTAGTGCCACATAAAAATAAATAAGACATTCTTCTCATCTACAACTACAAACTTTTTTTTTTTTTTTTTTTTTTTTTTAAATCTAATCTATCTGCTGTGGCAGAGATTTCTAGTTTAAAGACTAGGATCTTCCCTAATCTACTCCCCTACTGGGTTTTCATATTGCTTTCCATTGCATTTATTTTCAGCATTCTATAAATTTGATGACTCTACAAATCAAGGGAGCTGCTATTCCAGCCTGCTAATTTAATATAGAAGATGACTGTAATCTGTTATATTGTTATCACTTAGTTGGCCCTTTGCATTTAGGCCTCTTTTCACATGAAGTTATAGTGTATCAAAATACTTAAAGTTTCAAAATATCTAAAAATGAGAAATGATAACACTTTAATGTATTATAATAACCTTTGTAATTAAATCCAGTAACCCTTGTAATTAAAATTGATTAAGCACTTTTCATTTTGGACTATGTTTTCTTTATATCCATATGGATATTTTATCTATTTGTTCTTTCAAGTACTGACATGGGAAGATTAAAATTTTTAACTGAAAATGGGATCTCTCTCTCTGTCTCTCCCTCCCTCCCTCCCTCCCTCCCTCTCACTTCTGTTAGTGTTTGCTTCATGATTTGTCAAGGTTATTTATTAAAGATGTACACATTTAGAATTGTTAGGCCTTCCTGATGAATTACCTATTTTGTCCAAATTACCCTCCTTGTTTCTTTATTACTTATATTTCAAAGCCAACTTATTCTTGCTGTTTTCGTGGTATATTTTCTTCCATCCTTTTAATTTTTGGCCTTTCTAGTTTTAAAGTTAAACTGTATAAACTTGGAGCCAGGTGTGGTGATCCTGAAATCCTAGCTGTAGGGAGACTGAAGCTGGAAGACAACAAGTTGGGGGCGCAGCCTGGACGCCTTAACTGAGTGAGACCCTGTCCCAATATAAAAATGTGAAGAGAAGAGTTGGGAAGTAGCTTAGTAGAACAGCACTTACCTAGCATATCGAAGGTGCTGGGTTCAATCTCTAATAATATGAAAGGGGGAAAAATTTAGGACTTTTTTTTTTAATGTTGATAATTTCTGTTTTTTAATTATATTGTTTACTCCATTCATTTATGCACATATTTTAGACTGTTTAAAATTGTCTTGAGCCCCCCAAGTCTGCTTATTTCCATTTATTTATTTTGTCTTTGTTCTTCAGATTGCTTTGTGCTCAATTTCACTGATATCCAGTCTGCTTGATGGTTAAGCCCTTCTGGTGAATATTTCATTTCAGTTATTGTAGTTTTCATGTAGAAAATTTCTAGTTTTTTTTTTTCATAGTCCTTTATTTCTTTAACAAATTTTTCTTTATTTCTTTGAGTATTTTTTTTTTTTTTTTTGAAGAGTATTGGTTTTCATCCTAGTATTCATTTACTTGCTGATTACCCTTAACTTGTGCAGGCTTAGTTTTATACTTTATAAAAGTAGATGTGTAGAAAGATGATAGTATTTACCAAGTTCTTTTAACTCAGTAGGACTGAGCCTCCAGATTGTATCTTTTTAATTTTTTTTTTAATATTTATGTTTTAGTTGTAGTTGGACACAAAGGTACTGTACCTTTATTTTTTTAATTTATTTTTTAACGTGATGCTGAGGATCAAACCCAGGGCCTTACACGTGCTAGGCTAGTGTTCTACTGCTGAGCCACAACCACAGTCCCCCCAAATTGTATCTTTTTGATCTTCAGAAGTTTACCATTAGCCTTTTTAGGTAGTGCTAGAGTAGGCCCTACTTTAGAGCATTGTGCTTTCTTTAGCTGTGTCACCTAGATGTCCAGGTAATTACCAGGGTTTCTTCAATTTTGTTTGACTGGAAATCCAGTGTTTTTCCAGTGTTGCTTAACTTGCAGTGTTTCTATTCTGCTGTCAACCCCATAGCAGTTGGGGTATCCTCTGGGATACTTTGTCTCTCTAGGTAGCTGATCCTTTCTAGGGATCTGATCTCCCTCTTTTACAGCTCTTAACTTTCCAGTTTCCTCCCCGGCATAATCCAGATTCCTCATTTGTTCTGAACTCTCTGCTTCCTTGACTCAGCAGGATTGCTGTGCTTTGCTGTTCGCTGGTTGGGATATTTCAAGTAGTTTCTGGGACATTATAGGGTGGTTGACTTGTCGATATTCTCTTCTCTTAGGGACCAAAGTCTGTGCTGTTTATTTTACAAAGCCTGGAAGCTGTTGTTTCATATTTCATGTTTGATGGTTGTTTACAATGAAAGAGCTCACTAGTACCAGTCATTCCATCACAGCCAGAAATGCATGACCCTGGGTGATAAATAGTGGTGTATATTGTGCCTTGTTAGGATTATCTGTGTTTTCCATTAGTGATTTGTTATTTCCATGTAACAAAATTTCTTATCTGTTCTTAGAGGGAAAACTTTATCTATTAAACATAACTTAACTATTATCTATTAAACTGGATTTATTAAACAATGATTCTCTAAAATTTTATTCATTTTATGTAGCATTTGATCTGTAAGTAAAATGGTTCTTCCTTGTCTCCTCTAGGGAAGAGAAGTGTTCCATTTATTTTTATCAATAATGTTGATTCTAGATGTGAATAGTGTTTGACAAGCAGTAAATAGAAACATTACTTATTGAATCTTTATTTAAACTGGAAATTTAGTCTTAGCCTGTCACATCAAGTTACTAATTAATTCACCAAATATTTAGTGAGTGTCTTTTATTGCTGATGCTGACACTGAACTTGGCACTGAGGAGACATTGAAGAACAAAACATATGAAATAATCCCTGCCCTTGGTGAGTTGACATTGTCATATGGTAGATAGGGAATAAGTACAAAGAAACAAATTATAATTTTGGATATACTAGGAAGAAAACAAATGGAGTTCTGATGTAGAGAACAGTGAGCTCCTACTTTGGGTTATGTGGTCAGAAAACCATTTGAGGAGTTCTGTGTTTCAACAAGGTGATTAAGGAGCTAGTACACTTGGGAGAAAGGCGGAGGCCAGGACTGGTGGGTTTTCTAATGCTTTCTATAGTACATGTAAAGATCCTGAGAAAAAGTTTGTTATATTACAGAAGTTGAAAGAAGTTTAATAGGGAAGATAGGAATTGATCTAATAACCATATTTTAACCTTTTAAATAGGGTACCTAGAAAAAAATAAGGATGGATTAATAAAATCACAGCTATTCTTAGATATCTAAATCTATTAGATTCACTTAAGTTCTGATAGTGAAGGATGTACACATGGATGTTTCAAATAAAAATAAATGTTTTCCCCAGTGACTTATCTTGGATGTTTTTATTTAACAATATCTTATTCTTGAAATTGGCTGATTGCTGGGCACAGTGGCTCATGCCTATAATCCCAGAGGCTTGAGAGGCTGAGACAGGAGGATCACAAGTTCAAAGCCAGCCTCAGTAATGGCAAGGCGCTAAGCAACTCAGTGAGACCCTGTCTCTAAATAAAATACAGAAAAAAATAGGGCTGGGGATGTGGCTCAGTGCTTAAGTGCCTCTAAGTTCAATCCCGGTAACCCTCCCTCCCCCACCAAAAATTGACTGATTAACACAAGAGTATTAAAGTTCATGAATTTAGCTTTATTTAGAAGAAATGAGATACTGGTATATTGAACTCAATGTTGAAAATTATCTGTTTCATGAAATATTTAGGCTGTTGTAAATTTTCTCCTTTATGTTGAATATGCTTTTACTTTTTAATAGTTAAGGATCCAAAAAAAAGAAAAAGTTAAGGATCAATTTATTTTGCAGCAGAAGTCACTAACAGTAGGATTATAGTATAATCAATTTACTCTCCTCTCATAAAATTATTTATAATTTTTATGATTAAAAATTCCACAGGTTCGTCATAAGGCATCACAGAAGGTTTATGCTATGAAGCTTCTTAGCAAGTTTGAAATGATAAAAAGATCAGATTCTGCTTTCTTCTGGGAAGAAAGAGATATTATGGCCTTTGCCAATAGTCCCTGGGTGGTTCAGGTAAGCATACTAACTTTTACAGTTTATTTTATTTTTTTAAGTGCTATTATTCATAAGAGTTCATGTGCTGAAAGTCCTTGGTCTCACTTACATAGTAATAATGCAGTTGTTTTCAGTGAGTCAATATACTTGTTTAATGTTCCTGAACAGTATCTGTATAGACACATGTAATAATTACTTAAAATTGATGAATGCATGGAAGTATTACTTGCAACTTTTTCCTTTTTAACTCTCTTCTATAAAAAAATTAGCTTGGTCATCAACATGTCATTACTCCTGCCTACCTTTTCTTGTGGTTTACATCATAGAAATATAGTAAATTTATTGACTCATTTGGAAGGATATATACATATTAATATCATTTAGAAATTGTTATTACATTAATTAGCCTATCTCAGGAAAAAAATTACTTGACTATAGGAGAATTTCCAATTGTTTGTCCTTTGTATATTGCCCATAATTTAAGATAGTATTAGTACTCCTGATGCTGCATCTTATTTGAACGTAGGTTAAGAAATTTTTGGTTTTGTTTTGCACCAGTTTTACTTCTCTTAAAGATTTTGTAATACATATCTAAATCCACACACATTTTTGAACAAGTGCCATGAGTAAGATTAGGTACGTGCCACTGCATGTTCAGAAAATTTAAATGATCTTGGGAGTTTGATACCTTGCTTGTGGAAGGCACTGTGGAGGTTTAAAAAAAAAAAATTGCCATATTAATGACTTTGTCTTTTTATTTTTATTTTTTTATGGTACTGGGGATTAAGCCCAGGGATGCTGAGCTATATCTCCAGTCCTTTCTATATTTTATTTTGAGACAAGGTCTTACTAAGTTGTGTAGGGCCTCACTAAGTTGCTGAGGCTTGGCTTTGAACCTGTGGTCCTCCTACTTCAGCCTTCTGAGTTTCTGGGATTTCAGGTGTGTGCCACCTCACCTGGCTTGTGACTATGGCATTTGAAACCTCATTACTCTTGTTTTTTTGTTTTTAATATTTAGTCTTAATCTCCCCCTCCTCTTTATTTTGTTGATTATATGTAGCCAGTTATTAGAAATTCTAGTATATGCAGCTAAAACTAAAAATTTTGTTTCAAATTATGTATCACAATAATTTACTTGACTAAAGAATGACTATAAAATATTATTTGTTCCATGTTTAGCTTTAAATTGCTTTTATAGTCGTATATTCATTGCTATTTCCAGATATTATTTCATATATTGCTATCTTTTGATCTTTAATTCTGTTAGGTGGAGCCTTATGAAGTGTTAATTGAGAAAGAAAGAATCTCTCAATAGTTGAAATAATCTGCAAAAGCAAATCAACAGTCAAAACATAGTACAATTGAAAAAGTAATTCAGATTATGACTGTGGTATTCATGTGTTTCTCTCTCTCTTTTAACTAATATGCCATGCAACATTACACTTACATGTATGAAATGTTTTAATTTTGGGGGAAACTTGTCAAAGGGACTGACCTATTTTTATTTATTAATTTCATTACTCACCTTTTCAAAAATATATTCACAGAATTGTTTAATCACTACCACTGCCTAATTCTAGAATGTTGTTGTTGTCCTCAAAAGAAACTCTGAATCATTTGGCAGTTATTTCTCAATTCTCTCTGACCCAGTCCTTGTCAACTACTAATATGTCTCTATGGATTTACCTTTTCTGGATATTTCATATTTGCTAGTTAACTTTCCATTGTTGTGACAAATACCTGATAAAATTAACTTAAAAGGAGGAAAATTTTAATGCATCAAAGGTTTCAATCCATGGTCACTTGACTCTGTTTTTTTCTGGGCTTGTGATAAGGCAGAACATTATGATGGGGAGTGTTTTGTGGGGCAGAGCTGCTCACTTTATGGCAACCAGGAAGCAGAGACAGAAAGAGAATGGGTCTGGGGACCCTTAAGTAGGTCCCTACTGATTTATTTCCTTTAACTAGGCCCGTCTTCTTAAAAGTTTCTACTTCCTTCTGCCAGATAGCCCATTAAGCTATTCATCATTAGTGGATTAATTCATTGATGATGTCAGAGCCCTCATGATCCAAGTACCTACCCAAAGCCCCTCCTTTAAACAGTGATGCATTGGGGATCAAGCCTTCAACACATGAGCCTTTGGGGGGCATTTGAGACCCAAACCATAACATTATATAAATGGGATCATATGATATGGTATTTGTGACATCTTTAAACATTCATTCATATTATAACATATATTAGCACTTCGTTCCTTCCTGGCTGAGTTATGTTCTGTTGTCTGGTTATACCACATTTTCTTCATTCATCACTTAATGGACATTTGAATCATTTTTATTTTGGGCTTTTTTTTTTTTTGACTGTTTTGAATAATGCTGCTATGAATTTTCTTTCATATGGCTTTTGGTGACTAAGTTCACACATTCCTTTTAGGTGATCTACCTTGTAGAGAAATTGATGGATCAGAGAGTGTGCATATAATCAGTTTCAATGGATTATTTCAAATAGCTTTCTAAATCTCAGCTCTTATTTTTTAATGACTATTCAATATTTAATTGTACAAATGGTCCCATGATTTGTTGGTGCACTATGTTTGTTGAAAGTAGCTATTTTCATTTTTCTTACATAAATTATGCTGCAATATAACTCTTTGGTCCCTTTATATGTCTTACATATATGTTTTTAGTGTGATTTTAAAAAATTCAACAGACGTATATTGGCACATTTAAAAATCTTATTCTTTTGCTGGTAGAGAGGACTTTTTATTCTAGTTTATCTAGTTTGTTCTGTTTTTCTAAGGATACTAGTATTTTTCTAGTGTCCTTATTTTTGTCTTAACTCTTTTTATGGTAAGCTCTTCCTTGCTTTCTTTTCCAGTTTTATCCCCCAAATGTGTACTCTAAGTATATTATTTTAGTTTTGGTTTTTTTTTTTTTTGCAATGCTGGGGGAAATAAAATCTAGGATCTCAGACATGTAAGGCAAGCACTCTACTACTGAGCTAAATCCCCACCCAGTTTTTGGTATTTAAAAAACTTTTTAAATTTAGGTATATCTTTTACCTTTTGTCTCTCAAGCTATAGTATTCCTGTTCTTTGATAGTTTTTTGTCCCCAGGTTGAAAACCTGGATTTTGATAATTTTGTCCTTGTGATATAGTTCAACATGCTTCTCTCTCATTTGAATTTTTGTAAGTTGATAGAGTAAAGGGTTTGATTGGATTCAGATTTTATTTTTAGGAGGCTATTTCATAGGCAGTATTTTTCTTCTTTCAGGAGGCCAATGTCTGATTATCCTGTGTTATCATAACTATTTTTGATCAGTGTCTTGATCTTTTAAGGATTGTAAAACGGTGATGTTTCAATTTCATCACTCCTTCTTAATTGTAGTGACTGGAATGTTTCTATAAAGAAAGATATTCCCCCATTTACTAATTGGTTACTCCATGATATAGTTCACATTGGAAGGACAAAAACTTCATTATAATTTCCCTATATTTACCAGTTTCCAAAAAGGAAGGACATAGTTTTCTTTTTATCTCTTAAGGGTGACCAGTTTGGGGAGGAGGGTGGAATCAGTTTGAATGCATGGACCTAAAAAATGTAGTTAATATATTTTAGTCCTCTGAACACCTTGTTGAAGCTTATGTTATGACACCTTTGGCCAGTGTAATCATATTTAAATTGGTTCCTGAGACCTTTTGACAGAGCCTTAGGTGTTTTTAATAGTTTGCTTTTCTGTCTGGTGAAACAGGGTGTTCCAGACTTATATGAATTCTGCCCATGATATGGAATTAGCTGTGCTTGTCCATCTGTCTGTTGTATATAAATATTTCATGACTATTTCTTTAGAATAGGGTCCTGGCAGAAGTTGGGTGCGGTGGTGTATGCCTGTAATCCCAGTGGCTCGGGAGGCTGAGACAGAATGGTGAGTTCAAAGCCGGCCTCAGCAAAAGCAAGCTGCTAAGCAAATCAGTGAGACCTTGTCCCTAAATAAAAATACAAAATGAGGTTGGAGATGTGGCTCAGTGGTTGAGTGCTCCCTGAGTTCAATCCTTGGTGCCCCTTTCTCACACACACACACACACACACACACACACACACAAAATAGGGTCCTAGCATTGGAATTCATGGGTCACATAGTATACACCTTTGACATTTGATTGAAAGGACCAGATTACTTTGTAAACAAAGCAAGTTGTTTTTTTTTTTTTTTGTTGTTGTTGTTGTTGTTATTGTTGTTACTGGGGATTGAACCCAGGGGTGCTTACCCACCAACATCCCTTTTTATTTTTTATTTTGAGACAGAGTCTTTCTAAGTTGCTTAGAGCTTTGCTGAGTTGCTGAGATTGGCTTTGAATTTATGATCCTTCTACCTCAGCGTCCTTAGACTTTGGGATTACAGGCATGTGCCACTTTGCCTATCTAAAAATTTTTTTTAGTAAGCTTATATTATCACTAATGGCGTAAAAAGTTTTCTTCTACCACATTTTAAGCAAATACTAAATATTGTACTTGTTTTAAACTGTCAGTTGCTTGCTTGATAAAAAGATATTATTGTGTTCATTACATTGCCTTGTTTACTTGCAAGATTCAGCATATTTACTATTATTAGTAACTTATACTCCTTATACATTGCATGTCACATTTTTCTAACATTAGAAAATTAACTTGTTTTTAAATTCATTTGCTAATGTTAATAGATCCTAGGTATTAATCCTTTGTTGTATATGTTGGAAATACACTCTCTTGACTATTACTTGCCTGTTGCTTATAGAAGTTTTAAATATGGATGTAGTAAAATCTGTAGATTTTACATTTCAATTGTTGAGCAATACCTTCCCCATGCTCAGGATTATAAAAATAATGTTCTATACTTTCTTTTCTTCTTCTACTTTTTTTTTTTGGTACTGGGGATAGAACACAGGTGAAAATACAGGTGAACACTGGGCTATGTTCCCAAGCCATTTTAATTTTGAGATAAGGTATATTCTTTATAATTTTTTTATATTTTAATTTT